CTAAAGGCATGTTTTTTTTTTCTTTCCCCCCTTCAAAATTTTTTCTCGACAATCTGCTAGCCGAATTACGCATATGCTCGAACTTTTATGGAACAAAAGTGCTTAATCATGATGAAGATTAGGTGCGAAATTGGGAGGAAGTGCAGAATCGCAAACTGCTTACCGCGTTTTTAAGAATTGCACATACATGGTAACCATGTACACGTCGACCTATTTTCACTTAAATAAAACATCCCAGAATTGCACAAAAATGGCATTACGCACACTCTTGACTTTATCCATGTACACTGCTAAAGTTCTAGCTAGTAACCTTTATCCCCTTACCATAATGTCGCCAAACTACCTGTTACCATATTCCAGAGATTAGCCTTCTGTTTACATAAAATAACGGCGTTTCACTACTGCAAAACCTAAAAGTTACTATTCTGTTTACGTTTAAAAATCACATTTCAATGCTTTCATTTAGTGCGCCTAAAAATTCGCCAAATTTTGAAGGCCAAAATAGTTTGGCGCCAACTTACCTCGCTTATGGAATTTTAGCCGAAATTTAAACTCAGAAAAGAAAAGTGAAAATAGGGTTTATTTATTAAAATATTCTAAATATGTGCTTCTAGTTCTAGGATTTCTAAAAAAAGATAGAGAATTTTATGAAAAGAGCTTGTGCACTGAGGATAGAACAGTTTTATAAATGCAGAACTTCTTTTGTATTTCCCATAAAGTAAAAAAAAAAAAAAAAAGAAAATCTGAATGTTTTCAGATTTTATATTATACCCAAAGGGACCCTTTTTTTAACATTTTGTGTGTTGCCTTTATTTATTAAATATCATATTGGCATATCATCATCATATCATGTACTTAAACCATAAAATTTAATTCAACAGCAATATTGCAAAATAATTTTGAAATAAGCATGAATTTTCGATGCAGGTCGCCCTTGCTTGCTTTGAAATTGTTGATTTTCTTAATCAAAAATTCATTAAAGTGTTATAAAATATGAAATTGATAATAAAACAATTCAATTTCCAAATTAGGGCTTCCAGATGCCCATATTTGGTGCAAGATTACGTTATTCAAAATTTGATGGCTCTAGGTACCGTTGTTTTATCACAATGAGAGAAACATGTGTACATTTATGCAGATTCTTCATTATTTAATTTCTTTAAATATAACCAGGGTTGCCACGCTACCTGGAAAACCGGGAGAACCGGGAAAAGTCAGGGAATTCGAAAATTGACCAAAATATTCAGAGAAAAGTCAGGGAATTTAAGTATTTTTGTCAAAATCTGGAAAAGCCAGGGAAGTTCATACAACGATCCCGCCAAAAAAAAGCGATTTTTGCGCCGACGTCGGAAGAGGTAACTTTTTTGGCGAATTATGTATCACGTGAGTGTCATTCGGGTAGCTGGCATAGAGCCAATTTTCGCAGCTCCAATTTGATTGTCTTTTAGAAAGGCAAAGCAACTTTCCCGCAACTTTTGGTTTCCAATATTCTCGAGAATTGCATGTGCAGTGCATGAACTAAAGAAAGTACCTGTTCTCGTATAAAACAAAATGGGTTTAATCCTAGTATACGGTACCATGGAGGTTAGAATCAAAGAATATGTATTGTAAAGAAGGAAAACCTCTCTGCAACAGACGTGGCTGTGGCTCCGTTCCATCATAGAGGGAAAACAGCTGTGCATGTCTGATATATCTGTCGCCAAAGCTCGAAACTGGTGTCGAAGTTCGAGGGTCACGTTATCAAGAGTTCATAAAATGAATATCGTTTAAAATTTCTTTAACCACTTGAGCTAAAGACGTGCCACGCATGTCAAGATGCTTTTGTCTCAAACCGCGAGCGACGTGAACACCACGTCGATAAGCATTTATCGCAAAAATGAAAATAACGTGGTGCAAACGTCGCCTAACAACGAGATTGTTTATTTCTCGAGTTACAGCTCTGGATTGCACTCGCAGATGCGGAGCGGCGTAAATGAGACACTTTACGACGTGTTATATTGTAGCGCACGGCACCACAACTGTGAAGTTTAGTCTTAGCGCAAGTGGTTAAACTCTAAAGGAAAAGAAAATATTTTTTGGCGCAAGTAAATTAATTCATGGATTAGTTATTTTCAGGGGAAAAAAAAAAAAAAAACTACGAAAATCCGTTTTTAAAATTATTGCGAAAAATCCAAGAAGAAACGTCCTTTGATAAAACGTTTCTTCTTGGATTTTTCGCATAGATTTCTTTCTTTCATTTAGCTGCAGAATGTCTGCAAAAAAAGCCTTATTTTATTTCCAGATTGGGAAGATTCTAATCTCAATCTTCAGTGGAGAAAACAACAACTATTATAATTATATTTGTGTTTTCAAGTGTTAAGGTGCCTTTTAAGAACATACCTCACGCAAATTAAATTTACCTAAAATCTAACCTAACTATTTAGCGTTGTGATTTATAAGGACCGGATTAGCCTCATGTTGAACTGGTGATGATCATGAGTAATAATTAAATAAAACATACATTTGTTATCCAATATATATATCTTAAATTTTATTAAGTTTCTTAAGTGGAAAACTAAACAAAATTATCAAACAAAGTATACCAAGAATAATTAAGAATAAATGTCCTCTGGGACTTATTGAATATTAAGTGAATTTGCTACACAATACAAGTAATACCATAATTAATTTACCTCTTAGCACAGCCAATGTACATTACGCGGATAGACTGGAATTTTCTTGAAACACACCTGGAAAACCTGGAAAAGTCAGGGAATTTCATTCTTCTGTTTGAGTGGCAACCCTGTATAACACAGGGCGATAATATTTGGGGCAACAATTTGAAAAGTAAACCAACATGTATAGTGAATCAATGCAAAATGCCAAAACAAAATTAGTTCCCATTCTATACTAATGCCCTTTGGCCTAAAAAGACTTGCGTAAAATGTTCAGTATGTTTTCATAACTTAAATGATGAAATTCATGAAGATATTTCTAATTAATATATTCATGGTATTTATAACAAAGATGTTGCTAATATGGAATCGTTAATCATCAAAATACGTAGCTTTTGTCTTCTAATTTATTCCTAAGTTTGAAGTATGTAGAATATCTCAGTAATACATGTTGAAATGTGATTTGTGTCTATAAATACAGTCATCTGCAAATAATGCATTTAACTTATAAATGCATAGTAAACATTTTACTAACTAGACCTTATTTTTCTACTAGGACTACAAAAAAAGTTATGTTTGGTATTAAAAAAATTCTCCTGAAACTTATGAAGATATTGTTAGTTGAACTTTTTAAGGGGTTATACGAAAAATTACATTTTGCATTTAAAACTTCTTTTCTAGTGTCAAAATTGCTTTCTTAAAATTCTCTACTTTATTTTGAGAAACACAGCAATTAAATTTACATGTGTAGGATCAATGCTTAAGAAACTTGTTATAAAATTAACAGAATGATGGCTAATTGAATTTTGGACTGTATTAACAAAAAAGGTAAAGAGAACTTACGTACGTCTCTTTGTTTACATGACAATTTTTAGAATGATGAAAATAACAGTGATTCCAGATGCATAAAACATAGTAAAACAAAAAACAATGATGCCACTGAAACTGCACATAATATTATGCTCGATTCTCAACAGCCTCCTTCAAGCATGAAAATAGTCATTGTTCATATAGATTAACCTTTACTTATTTGACAGTTTTTACACCAATCAACTTCTGGAAATGAAACTGAGGTGCTGGAAGCGCCTTCGTCAAAATGTCTGCTCGTTGTTCATTACTTCTGATATAGCCTAATTGAAAACGTCCCTTCGAGAACTCATCTTGCACAAACTTGTACCTTTGCTCAATGTGCTTTGTGCATGCATGGAACATTGGATTTTTGATGTACTTGATAGTACTCTGATTATCAATTTGTAGGATAGGCAATGAGACATTATTAGCTATCTCGTTGAACAAGCTCTTCAACCATATCGGATCTTTCGTAGCATCAGCTGCTGCCATGAACTCTGCCTGTGTCGTCGAATTGGATATGGCCTCCTGTAGCTTGCTTTGCCATGTAATTGCACCTCCACCATAGAAAGAAATAACACCTGTTCGAGACCTGCGTGTTTTTGCACAGCTGTTGTTATCTGCATCACTAAACAACATCAAACTTCTATCATCTTCATTACTGTACACAATGCCATGTCCTATGGTATTGCAAAGGTACCTTAATGTTGTCTGTATGATTTCCCAATCAATCTCTGTAGGATTGTTCAGCTTTCGAGACATCAAACTCACTGCGTAAGCAATATCCAGTCGTGTCCCCATCGCCAAGTACAGCAAACTGCCAACTACTGATCGGTATGGAATTTCACTGCTGAGTGAATATTTTTCAGTTTGTTTCATTTCCCCCTTTTTAATTACAATAATATTTTACAATATATATTGCACATACTTTCTTAATTTAAACTATATACCTAAGTCGTTTTTTCCATAGAAGGTTAACTTTGTGAAATATTTTTTTGCCATATGCACAATGTGTTAATGACGTAACCCCCAGTGTCCAACAAATTTTACTGTAATGCTCTTGTTATATTTCAGTGAGAATTTTTTTTTAATATTATAACTTGATTTTAAATTTAAAAAATATTATTTTCCATTAAAAGCTTGACACTAGGTTATGTATTTATTGCCTGCAGTTACCTTAATTGTGGCAGGAAGTGCAGAACTAGCCAAACATATAAAATTTTAACATGCATAAATTCAAGATAGATTTCTGCTAAATACTAAATTACACTTCAATTAGATGTTCACATGCACTGAATTGCATATAAAAACCTTGAGAGTTGTCTAAAATCTTTTATTGATTCTTTTTAGAAACATAAATTATCTGATCTGTTTCTGACAAATCTCATGTTACTGTTAAGATTATAGAGTATTTATAATTGTTGTATGTGTCACTTTTTTTTTTACTATATGATATAAATTTCAGTAATATTTAAAAATGGTTCTTGTTTTTTTCAGCATTGGTGGAAGCAACTTCAGCAGTGATCAAGGAAGTGTAGACTCTTGTAATTACAGCAGCCATGGCAGTGACAGTAACAGTGGATCAGCACCTTGCTCGCCTGAGGAGCCCGACAGATTTTCCAGAGCTGGCACACCTCAGCCCATGCCGCCCATACCTCCATCTTTGCAGGACGATAGTCAAAGTGAGGAAGATCAACCTTGCCAGATTGGACATCATAAACTGGATGTTAAGGATAATATGTGCACAGAATCAAGGACAGCAGTTGACGACTTTTGTGGTGGAAATGAAAGAGTGCATTTCTCTCAGCAAAAGTGTTCTGATAAAACAAAAAACAGGACTGATCCTGTTACAAGTCCCAAAGAAATGAAACATTTCTACCTCGAACAAAGTAGTTGCTCAGTGCCAAATTCCAAATATGAGCCATTCCAAAGAGCTAAATCTCTGAGTTATGTTCCTTCTCATGAGCAAACCAGTGATGGATCTTCCTCCAATAGTTCAAATAAAACTCTTGGACACAACAAAATGAGTGTGCATTCCGAACTTGCGTTCCCTTTTGTTAAGCAAAATAGCAGACAGCTTAATTTTCCTTCATGCAATAGTGCAAACCAGTCAAATTGTTCCTCCACTGAAATTCAACAGTGTAACTGGGTGGACTGCAAAATATGTGTGGAGGGAAATGCAGAACTAGTCGAACATATAAGATCTCAGCATGTCCAGACTCAAATGAATAAAGAAAGTTTTGTATGCCTTTGGGCTGGATGCAAGGTAATTAATTGAACATCCTTCATTAATAATTTAAATGTTATGAAAATATTTTTTTCAAAAATTTTGGTAATAAGTATAAAACAAAGCCGATGATTATTTCCCATTTTGAGTGCCAGATATGCCCGTTTAATTGTTAATATTTTTACGAAGTGTTTGGTTGCTATTGAGAATGTACTTAGCAACTTTTTTGCATGTTATTTGAAATGTTGTAGTTGTTTATTAGCTGGGTGCAAAGTGATTTTGTGATGGTGTAATCAAGGAATGTGCTAAATCGTCAAATATAGTGGTTTTATTAAACTAAGAGAGAAAGCAGAATAACATATTTGATCAGTGAACATTATCTGCCCCTCCAGTAAACAGGATTTTGTTGACTAATTTAGAACTATCTTAATCCTCTGACCGGCAAGGCTATATATACACGGTCAAAAGTCGTTAATTCGGACACCCATAATCCGGACCTCAAAGCTACAAACTTTCTGCGCATGCGTCAAAGCATAATGCGTTCATGCAGGCACATAGGCGTTTACGCATGAGCATATGCGTGTGCACATATGTTTACGCATGAGCATATGCGTGTGCACATATGTTTACGCATGCGCATTTAATGTATGACGGACGGTATAAGCTAAGCTAAAATTATCTAATTATCTATTTCAGTCAATGTTGCAGATTGTGTTGTTCCTTAATCTTCTAATTAGATCCAGCTTATTATTTTTTGCAGACTGTTAGAGCAATTTTATAAATAAAAATAAGCTTGACCTTTCGATTATGTCAAAAAGAATTTCCGATTCTGGAGCAGCCAAAGGATGTACAAAGCGAAAGCATGTTTCGATGTCCATCAAACAAAAAGTGGAATTGCTGCAAAAAATGGATAAAGGCATATCCTTTGTTTCTCTAACCATTCCAAAATCTGTTTATCAATTTCACGCTGCTCTGCGACGGAGGGGGGGACGCGGCGCGCAATGTACTGGAAGTTGATCTGTCAGCACTATCCTTATCTTCAGAGCGTTAACGCATGTGCAGAAAGTTTGTGATGCAAAAGCAAAGTTTAAAGTTTATAAAATTAAACATTTAGCAGCAGTAGCAATAGAAGCTCCCTAAGATTATATTTGTTCAGACATTGAAGACAATAAAAGGTCAAAATTAACCAATTTATTAACAATAATATATAAAAAAATGAAAAACACAATGAATAATTTAAAACAATATCAGAAACTTAAAAATTATAATATAACCATCATTATCAAAATTTCATATATTAAATAATATTTTTACCTGATCTCCAAAATACTGGCATTCAATACGCGAAAAACGTATCCTAAACAGAAATTATGCGGTTTTAAATGAAATTATCTACACTGTCAATAGATCCACGATTAATGATCAAAAAGCACCTGAAAATTAAATTAAGTCCTTGAGGGCGCTTAAATCCGGCCTAACTCTGCTTACTGTAGTTGAACAAAAGGAATCATAGCCCAGTAAAACATCGCTGCTAACTTATGTTAAATGCCGCCTTCATGAAGAACATGGATGTCGCCCATGGCAGTCACTCATCTTGTAGACAGTAACCAAGGAACTTATTCCGGAAAAGTCAACTTGTAGATGTTTTTATTTTATTCGGCTTGTAATTCCTTACTAAATGTAGTATTTCATCTCGATGTACTCCGTCTTTGATATGATTTAAATCAAATTCCATGTCATTATAAATATCACGAAACACATCAAATAGTTTTCTAGTGAATTTTCTAATTTCGACTATGGTATGTATGCTTTACTCATGCGCACGTTGAAAGAAATGTTTAATAAGTAAACAAAAATATTAAGCTTTTTGGTAATTTTGATACCCTTTAGATCATAATTGCTCTTTATTGCATAAATTACGGTTTTATATTTTTAATTTTATAATTTCTGCATGCCATCTTACCGGATTTAAACTGATGATCTGTAATCCGGAATTGCCGAAGTCCCGACGAGTCCTGATTAACGACTTTTAACTGTTATGTTATATATGTTACAGTAAAAATGATAAATCGGTGATTATATAAAATTACCGATGATTGTACATAATCACCACTGAATATGATAAATTATTTCATATTTATCAAATTTACCGGTTAGTTTATAAAAGCCCCAACTCGTAATGGGAAAAGTAATAAATTCGAATTATTTTGTGGAAATAAACCAAACCCATATTCTATGGGGGGGAATCATTTATTTGCGTTTAATAGAGTGCTGTTTTTTTTTTTTTTTTTTTTTTTTTTTTTTTTTTTTTTTTTGGGATTTACTATTTAGAAGATATTTTTGGTTGGAAATGACGTACCACAAATTACATTTTTTTTTTTTTTTTTTTTTTTTACAGTTAAAAGTCATAAGGTTATTTTAGGTCACATATATTTTTTAGCTGAACGAAATTTGAATAAGGGCCTGACGGTTTGTGAATGAAAAAAAACATTTACATGAGCTTGTACAAAACAGTTGCAGATAAAAAAAAAAAAAAAAACTACCATATTCTAGAGGGGGAGGAAAACATTTTTTCAAATATATTAATGCTATTACTACTATTACTAAATATTTTAATTTATTATTTAAGCATATTAGACTATTATGACATTTAGAATTAAAAAGTTTGCCAGATTTTTTACGTTTGCACTTATCACACTCGCATTATTCCTTACAAACACATCGCTGATATCCCTGACCTCCTGATAGAGATGTCTTTCTAACGCATTCTAGAAGTGGTATTGCTCAATCTGTAACATCGTCAAGCAAAATAATTTTTTCTTCACAAATTGTGAATTGATTTCTGGTATACAACTGTGAAAGTCTTCCTTGTGTCGTTCCTAACTGATAAAACTCTTCATTTTGAACTTCTAATATCACTGCTAATAAATTTCGGGAATCACTTCTTGATCTGTCAACGTCTGGTATTCTCAGTTTCACTGAGTCACCAACTTTACCAGCAGGAAATTAGAGATTTGAAACCTTCAATTTTTACTTTGCTTGTAATTCTAAACCTTCTTTAGCACTCATTCTCTGTTTTCTTTCTTGCTCTTGCCTGCACAATATATCTGTTTGGATTAGAGCGACTGCTGCTTCATTCTCTTCCCGAGTCTTAAAATTAGCTTCAGATGGAGGGTCATTTTGAGATAGATCGTTATTGTCTATATTAGAAACATTTTCTATTTCGCTATTGGTGTTTTCGGAAGCATTATTAACTGTCTCGATGAATGCCTGAAGCTTTTCTTCAGTTCTGAGATGTTCGATAGAGTCATTCGGGAAAGATGTTTTCAAGCCAAATTTTGCAAGCGTCCCAAACATTGCTTTATAAGGAGAACACTTGATGCCTTCATAAATGCTCTATTTTTCATAGTGCACAAAAACGTACCTTTGGACCATTTACGATGTGATTGCTTTCCACAAGAACTTAGCTATTTTCGATATCCTGCCCAATTTTCATCCGGCCACATTGCACAAGCTTCTTCTAACATTTTGTTCTAACTCACGACATTTGTCACTTTCAATATGCTAAGATCTCCAATATAGTAAAAATATCAATTAGAGCTGCAACCTCTTCTGCACATTTGCTTTTAGGGCCTCACTGTACGACTTCGCAAGGTCTTGATAGATAATGTAAACTTAAAGTATTTATCTGGTTGCGACTGCTGTCAGTTAGGTCCACCTGGTATCTTATTCACTCTTGAAAGACCATTGCCTAACAATAATCCTTTCTTAGGAACTCGTTTTTTTTTTTTTTTTTTTTTTTAACAACTTTCACACAAATTTAAGTACTCATGACTTCTTCGGTGTAATGTTTTTGTACTTTTTTTGAAGATCTTTTACTCCTTTCTACCACCATGCCTTGATAAGTACCTCATGAATTATGGTAAAAATTTCTTCAAAGTACACATAAAATCTAACATTGGAGATTCACGGGAAAGATAAGTTTTTCAACATTTCCTACTTTCATTACATCATATCTTTTTAGTCTCTGATAATCGGGGTTTTTTCCCACTACTTTTGTTTTTACTATTATTCACGTTTTTTAACAAATCATCATATCTTTCTTTCGTCAGAAAACCACTGTTTGTTTCCTTAGTATCCATAATATTAATTTGGAATTAAAACGCTCAAGCATACTAGCCATTATTCAATGTTTTATTTTTTACGAGAGGGTAGTGAAAAAATGAGAAACATGCAACGAAATGAGAACTACTTCTGAAATCACATGTTGATAGAAGCCAAGCAGTTGCGCAAACTGAATGAATTTTCGTAAAGTTAGTTACTTTTATCACATTCCTCATTATGAGTTGGAGATTTTATAAACTAACCAGTAATTTTGATAAATATGAAATAGAATTTTCCTAAACTTAGGGACTTTTGTCACATTCTTTATTGTGAGTTGGGGATTTTATAAACTAACCGGTAAATTTGATAAATATGAAATAATTTATCATTTTACCATTTAGTGGTGATTATCTATATCACCGTAATTTATATAATCACTGAATTATTACTTTACCTACCTATATATATATATATTATATATATCACAGCCAGAGCATGTTCATGATGTTTGTAAGAATGTGTATATATGTGCATATATATACATCTTGAAATATGTCCAAGAAATTAAGGTCAGTATACACTGACAGAAAAACAAAAATCCCAACACCAAGAAAAAATTATTGTAGAGTAATGAAATTTTGGCAATACATCTGTCTAGATAATGTATTTAATTGATGAAATTTTCAATATCGCAGGTTAATGGAAGTGCGAGAAGAGGCCATTTTAAATGTACAATGCTGGTACATTAATATCTGGTGTAAATGCTAGGATTTTGAATCCATGCATTGTGTAGTACTGAATGTCAGTTTGTGGGAGGGAGTTCCTTGTCTCTTGCACTTGGTCAGTCAATACAAGGACATTTAATGCTGGAGTTATCATCCAGTGTTGTCCCACATGTGCTTGATTGGAGAAAGATCTGG